TCTCCCCGCTGCCCACCCGGCTGCCTGCGGAAGTAGATGGGCCGCCAGGCTCTCATCCAGGGGGGGCACACCGGGACACTCCGTGTCCGAGCGGCCCTGCACCCTGAGGATTCCGGCCCATGTCGCCACTGGAGCCTTCGTTTTAAGTGGCTCCACGTTGCCTCCACACACCGCACAGCGGAACAAAACACACACTTCAGCAAGGGGGGCGAAACGAAGGCCGGCTGCGCCGGGCCGTAGCAGCCCTGACGAAGGCGGCTCACCGGCCTTGGTGACAGCGGAGGGGGGAGCGGTAAGCCTACGCGCTCCGCCGCCATAGCCATCACCGCCGGGAAGTCCTGCCGCGCAGACCTGTGCTGCAGACCCTCCTGGAGGCCCTCTCCCCGACGAACGGGGCCGCCCGGTCCTCTGGCATGGCGAACAAAAAAAGCGCACTCCGTCATCGTGCTCTTCCATCTCCACCACCTCGAGGTCCTCTTCCGGCGAGACGTAACGCTCCTGGAAATGTTCCAGCCGCCAGCGGCGGAAGCGGGCCCAGGTTGGCCGCCGCGTGGTCAGACCCCAGGCACTCGACGCATCGACGGTGGAGATCGGCGCCTGCAATTAAGCCCAGGCACGAAGGGCAGGGTCGCTGCTCCAATAAAGGTGAGTCCATGTTTCCTACTTTTCTTTTCGCTTAGCTTCGCTCAGTTGTTCTCTTGCTTGCAGAAGAGAAAAGGATGACAGTCAGGAGGCGAGGCCTCCTTTTATACGGTGGGATGCGCGCGCATTCAGGTAGGCCCGCCCCGGGGCCGGCTACAGTTATAGCAGTCTCAGTGGATGAATGCTTGCATGATATGATCAAGGGGTAGTACGCATAGAGTCCAGTAGAGGGCGGAGCCTGTGAGAGATATAACAATAACACTTCCTCTTCACCAGCGCCTCATAAATCTCCCTGTGCTCCAGTAGAGCTGGTGTGAAGCCGCGGGCCTCCTCTCTCCTGTCCTCCATATTTAGCCTGTCCTCAACTCTCCAGCCTCTCCTCCATCTCATCCTCCTCCTTTGGCTCACTCTCTTCTGTTTATCTTGTATGCCCTTTTTTTGTTTTTTCTAGCTATTCAGCTGTTGTCCTCTTTTTGTTAACAGGTCACATCCAGTGGTCAAAAGAAACTAAGTACATTTACTCAAGTAACATTTTGAGATACTTGTACTTTACATCAAGTAAATGGTGTACGTTTACACCACTACATGTATTTAATGTAGATAAACATTCCCCTCAAACCAGACAACCATTGTTAGTGCTGGTTTGAGCACTAACTGGTTACTTTACAGATGTGGATGAATGATGTGAAATATAATCAAGTGTTAAATCAGACTTTAGTTCCACCTGGAGTAAATTCACAAGCTACCCTGCAGTATACAAAGTCATTCAAACTAGCTGCACCTTTACTAGCTTTGAGAACACTTTCATGATCAATCATTATAAAACATATCATATATATTATTCTGACATGGACCAATCTGCGCAATCACTACTTTTACTTGAGTAACTTTTTGATTGCAGGACTTTTACTGTAACAGAGTATTCCTACACTCTGATACTTCTACTTTGACTTAAGTAAGAGATTTGAGTACTTCTTCCACCACTGATCACATCCAATTACTTTTGTTTTTCTTTAGTGAGGTTGTGTTTTTAATACTCAAAAAGTATGCTAAAGTTTACATTTCTTTAAGTAGAAAAAAAGACTAATGAGTTCCAAATGTGTAAAGAGGCTGCATTAAATGCCAATGAACAAGGATATAGCACTTTTAGTTCAATGTAATCTATTGACTTGTAGTTATGGGAAAGCATGACGAAATGATTTGAGTCCCTGCAGGCACCCTGGGACAATTGTTGTTTTCTCGTAGTGTCTAAATCCGTTTTGGCTCTGTATAGAAATCAATCAAATCTGAACATTTCAAGGGTTAAAACTTTTTCTAGGAACTACAAGATGCCAGAATATGTCTGGAATGTTTCATGGCCATGCATCTGAAACCCAAGAACATTAAGCGATTTACTATGCATTCCATGAGGTTGAGAGACTCCCAATAGACAGACATTTTATTTATAGGAAAACCTGCATTTCATTAAGCTTTTTCAGGCAGTAGCCTATACTCCAACAATGAAACACATGAGCACATACTGTACTACAGTTTAAAGAAGCAGAAATAAAATCTGAGCTGAAAGAAAATGCTCAGTTTAAAAAAAAAAAAATTCCGGCAGAGGCTCAGCCAGGGTCGGCGACAGGCGGACCGCGGTCCGGATCCAGACCCAGACGCCGACCTATATGGACCCGGACCTATAATCAATACATTAATAGGGGATTTCAATTTTGACGGGGCGATTCTATTTTAACCGCTGCCGACAGGGGGCGAAAGAGACGAGTGAGCGATACAGGGAGAGAAACACAGAAGAAGAAATGAGTGAGCGATACAGGGAGAGAAACACAGAAGAAGAGACGAGTGAGCGATACAGGGAGAGAAACACAGAAGAAGAGACGAGTGAGCGATACAGGGAGAGAAACACAGAAGAAGAGACGAGTGAGCGATACAGGGAGAGAAACACAGAAGAAGAGACGAGTGAGCGATACAGGGAGAGAAACACAGAAGAAGAGATGAGTGAGCGATACAGGGAGAGAAACACAGAAGAAGAGACGAGTGAGCGATACAGGGAGAGAAACACAGAAGAAGAGATGAGAGAGCGATACAGGGAGAGAAACACAGAAGAAGAGATGAGATGAGATGAAGAGAGGAAAGTGAGTGAAGAGAATAATTAGCGATACAGGGAGAGAAGACGGAGAGGAGAGTGAACAGGCGTGTTAGCAGCAGACAGGGAGAGACAAATAATGACACATGGCGCTCTCCAAGAAGAGGAAAGTGGACAGTGTGAGAACAGAGCTTTTAACCCTGAGTGGACTCATTCATGTTCATCCTGCCCACTGGGAGCACAGAACCAGTGTGTCTAATTTGTTCAGAGACCGTGGCGCTCATTAAAAGTGCCAAAACGCCACTATGAGACAAAACACAAAGTGTTTGACCAAACATTCCCTCTCAAGTCAGAACTGAGGTCACAAGAAATAAGCAGTCTCAGAGCCCAGTATGATCAGTCCACCAGGATCAAAATGAAAACTAAATATGGTTCCAGGGCAGGCTAACCGAGGCTAACCAATGAGCACCTGCATGTGTGTATGAGAATGGCCCTGACACCATTTCAGCCCAGATCTAAACTCCTGGCAGGACAAGCTCAAGCTCAATTCTCGCACTGAATTAAAAAAGAGTGAGTGATGGACTGCAATATAAGAGGGAAAGAAAGAGAAACTTTAAAACTGTTCAATTGTTATGATGTGTAAAGACTGATATGTTCTATAATCGTCTGAAACTGTTAAGTCATGATGTGAAACGGTTAACAAAGAAAAAGGGAAACTCAAGCTGCTGCTACACTTTATTTTATTTATCTAATATTAAGCACTTTTAAGATGCACATATTTTCAAAAGCTATTTTATTTATTTTCTCCTATTTTATTTTTAAATGCAGCCCGAGAGGAACATTACACATATCCACAGTATTTACTGTATATCTGTATAGTTCAATGTTCATTGACAATAAATATTGTTGTTTATGAATTGTACTTTCTTTATTTGGTTGGCAGTCAGTTGTTGATGACATGCAGACGTTGATAAAGCTACAGGCTACTTATATATCACACTAATTCATAAAGTAACTTAGACATTTTGATGTTCCGGACCTTTGCATGGGGACATTTTCTCTAACCTGTTAAGGCCGAGCCTGTTTTTCAGGTTTCAGGCTCGAAAATGACATGCCCAAAACAAATGACTACAACTTCACTTCTAAAAGGGTTATATGAATAATTTCTTTTATCAAAGCAAGGTTACATCTGTGAGTTGGATGTAGAAGTGTCAGAATCAATATAGATTTTTCTCAGTCAGAGTAAATTCAGATGGAACATAGTAAAAAAAGGTAAATTCTTACCTCCGCCTAAAGAAAAAACATTACTTATAGTGAAAACCACCCTTGAATGATGGGATGGTAGACTAAAAGCTTCAGGAATCCAAACTATAACATATAATAAGTACCCTGTATCAAGATTGAGGCAAAACAAGTTAAATTTGACCTTTTTAGAGAGGTTTAGCAAAATAAAGTTCCAAGCGGAATAAGCTTTCGGCACATTTGGGTATATCTGGTTCCATCAGTGCCATTTGACCTTTTTCAGGTACCAGACTATAAAAATGATGTATTACATTGAATTATCACCATAGGTATTCATTCCATCCAAAGAAAAAAAATTAAAAGAAAAAAAAATAATAAAAAAAAAGACCCGCCGACGGGGGCTTTGGGGCTTAACAGGCTAACTGGACCTCGTTGAATTTTAGTTGAATACCCCTGCGGTAGGGGCTTGGACTGGGAGCTGTAGGGTCGCCGGTTCAAGTCCCCGAACAGACTTAAAATATGGATTAAGGACTGGTCCCAGTGCCGTGGTGCTCTTGAGCAACGCACCGGACACCCACACTTAAAGTATTATCCTACAGAACAGTACATCTTACAGAGAAGAGATAACATCTGATCCTTTACAACAAACACTAGATGATCTTTTTAGGTTTCACTAACACTGTAATCCTGCTAGTGATCCCCAATGTTTTAAAAATGTTACAATAATCTGATTACGTCCTTTTTTATGTAACTGTGAGGGAATACAGTTACCTTATTTTTTGTGTCCTGATAACATAATCCTGTTACATGTAATCCGTTACTCCCAAAGCTCAATGAGGAATTCAAAGAGTGTCCAAAACTTTAAGCAACCAACTAGCTTACTGTATGTCCGAGTGTATTTCATGGCTACGCTTTTGCTGACTACAGGGTTGAGTGTTAGTCAAATGTAAATGTTGAGTTTTATATGGGAACATCTGGCTAGTGCTAAATACCCCCCCCCCCCTCCCTCTCAGCACCAGTCGCTCAGACTCACCCTGTAGTTGGAGTGCGCTCTGTTGTTGGTGAACTGGCCCATGGGGGTGTGTTCGGTGCGTCCGGGGGAGTACAGGCCCTCTGAGGGGCCGGTGGGCACATGGTGGAAGATGAACCAGAAACCTGTTTCCTGAGGGGTCACACACAAACGTATAAGAAGAGACAGTGAAGAGCAGGCCTGTGCACAGATAGACCTCCCAGAGGGCTCGAGCCCCTGCCCTGTGGGCCTCCTATTGGACAGTGGTGGAAGAAATATTCAGAGTAATCATTGTGCGGAAAAATGGCCCTAGTGTGTTTATAATTATATTTATATATGTGACATTTCTAGATAATATTGTTGCATTGCATTTTAATGTTGCAGACACCAAAGTTCTGATTGACTTTTTGTAAAATCTTTAAATTATTTGGCTATTTCGTGACTTAAAGAGTTAGTCCACTAGTTTAATGTTTAGAGATATTTTGTTAAAAGTAGCCACATTTAGTGGAGTAAAATTACATTTTTTCCTCTTTTAAATGTAGTCGGGTAGAAGTATAAACTAGCACTTTTTTTTATTTACTTTCTTTTCAAATCAATAACATTATCTACATGAAGCAAAACATTAATAATAAACCTCTTCTGTGTCTAATAAATGTTATCTAAAACTAATGTGTTGCTTTTTATAATTGTGTGCCTTAGTATTTTATATGATATGTGAATAATTTCAACTAACTCTTTGGCACATAGTAGTAGTATCTCAGCCGTACAATATCAGCGTCTTCTTATTGCCCGTCATTACTGAAGCATTGTGCCTGAAGTCATTATGGAGAAGGTGGTGAGAGGAATATGGAGAGGAAGTGTATCTCTGTCAGCAGAACTGAGCTTTAGTCTGTCAGAGAGTGAGAGTCGGGCTAGTTAACATGTGAGGAGAATTTACAGAAATATACTGAATTTCTTTGCATGTATCATTAAAGAACTGTCATGAATTAGTATTTGAACCAACCCCATTGGTATATTTTAAATACAAAACAAAAAAAAGTTTTACTGGGGACGCTGGGGACCCCACCACTTTGTATTATAAAATAGTGTGCACAAAGATTGGTACACTTTGAGAATGTATTTCTACAAGAGAACATGTCCAATCTGTAGGACTGTTCACACTTTCTGGGTGTATATCTGGTAACCAGTGACACGTTTAATATTAGTAATAATTGAATAGAAAATAGTAAAGCCATTGTCGCTCCCACTTTGCAGCAGTTTGGCATACTTACTGCTCTAGTTGTCAAAAAAAGTAAGCGTGTATGTATGTACTGTATACTGTATATGTTTATATTGTTGGTGGGGGGCGATTCATGTAGATTTTAAAAACCACCACGGTTTTTAAAATCTGAAAAAAGTGTCCCTACCACTTTTTAACTAAACTTAAAGTTGTTATTCCATGCATATATTTATTAAAAGTAATCCAAATTGCCACCTTGTCCTTTTAAAGGGCCCATGTCATGGCCATTTCCACTGATCATAATTCCATTGTTGAGGTCTACTAGAATAGATTTGTGCAATTTTCCAAACTCACATTGGTTTCTCATACAGCATCTCTGTAAACTACGTGTATTCACTGAATTTCACTCTCTGCCTTTAACGGCTCGTTGGAGCTCCAATAGCTCCAGCCCCCACCCTCCCTGTGAGCACAGTGTGCTCTGATTGGTCGGGACGTTGTGAATCGCGCTGAGCTCCGTGGAGGTGTGGTTTCCTTGTTTAGGATACACAGCCAAACACAGCCAAACTCATCCTGAGCACACACAAAGTCACAGCCGAAGTAAAAACAATAAGTGTGGCTTGATATTGAGTAAGACAAAGGTTGATAAACGCTGTGAGAATGGGTCTGCAGAGAGAATTTCGCCGCGATCCCAACTGTCTGTTATCAGCCTGCAGCCAGGGAGGAGAAATCAGCTGAGCTGCCTGCTCCCTGCACACAGATGTGTGTGTGAGGAAGTCCGTGGATCGGTCAATTTGGACCAATCAGCGGGGGCTTAACGTAACGGCTCCGCGGACGTAACGTAACGGCTCCACGGATTGGTCCATTTCGTTCCGGGTACGGCATGACATCATGCCGTACCCGGAACGAAATGGAAGAATCAAATGGGCAGTGACGTATCTCCAACGAGGCGTTTTGGGGAGGTATTTTCTGTGTTAGAGTTTTACTCGCTACAGGGTGTACTTTGAGGGTTTGTGACTCTGCACACCGTTTACATGCATAAAAACCTTCATAACACACAAGGGGACGGGTAATAACCGGAAAAGCATGACATGGGCCCTTTAAGACTTTGGCAGCTGCCCCTCTAACATCCTCTGCACGTTCCTGGTCAAGACCCAGATTTAGCTATGAATGTAGAACAGCATAGAACCTGTGCAAATGTGTGTAGATTCATGTGAGATATTTTGGTTCACACCCCCACACATTAGTACAGCTCCGCCACATGTCAGCCTGTCTGTGTTTCTGTTGTTCTCCGCAGGTATGCAAATGAGAAAAGTTATTACATTGGCGAGGATAAATGAGAGTCCATTCCGCCCGACGTATCCTTGTAAAATCCCAGGAGTACGATCATAATTGGCACTCGATCATAGTGAAAGAGCGGCGGTGCCTGTGCCTGTTGTCTGCTTGATTCCGAAGTTAATAGGAATACACAGCCATTAATCTGACCTGGCAACGCAGTAATGTGACAGACCTCCACCTGGAGAGACGGGGACGGGGGGACGGGGTGTTGGGGGGGGGGAGAGAATCTCACCTCGGAGCCTGCAGCAGCACAGTTGATGAGGTTGTTATTGGGGTTGGCGATCCAGAAAGTTGAAGTGGCGCTGTGTGGATGGAGAGTGGTGGAGAGGAGGAAAGAGTTTTGTTATTGGATTTCACACAAATAGTCTGGAGCAGTAATGCTGAATAAAAACAGAGAAAAGGACTTCTGTTTTCTGTGGTTTTACTGACGACACTGCTGTTGGATCACAAATGAACGACGTTTCACTTAATAACAATTGGGGGAATGTTTTTATGATATCATTTCTGTTTCATTTCAGTGTTTTTCCTATTAACTTTTATAAAACCATGATATTCATATGCCGCATTGATGTTACCTGACAATACAATCAGAATCCAGTATATTGAAATATGTAGGTTTTCACATTCAAGGAATTTGCTTTTGTGTTTTGGAGCATAATGTGAGCATGTGTATGGGAATAGTTGTAGCTCAACATTTAAAAAGTAAAGGTATGTTTCTAGATGATGATGATGATTAGTTATATATATTTTCAGACAGACACACATATATTAACACACACACTCAATGTGTTGCCAGCCTTTTAAAAGTTGTATATCAAACCTCAGGTAGTTAAGACTTTATTACACAGGACCACTTACATTTTTTGCCCAAAATATTTTTTGCGCTTGTGAATGGTAACAAGAAAGTCAATTCTGAATAAATTCATACATTATATTATCTATTGACATGCAGCTGCTGACACATTATCCATTGAAACATTAAGGAAAGGAAATGTCTTTGAAACTAGATTTTCTTTTTTTTTGTTAATTAATGTGACATGTTTTTTTAGTCAAATATTTGTAAGTTGCATTACCAATGTTTTCTGTGATGTATTTATATGAGACACACTTGCAGCTGCTTTATGAGTGATGTGGTAACAGATGCTCTGTGGCTGTACTTTTTAATGACTGAATACATCAGGCATCGTGTTGCTATTTGTTGAGTTCTACTATCCAAGAATTCTGAAATCCTTCAACCAATCATAACTATTAATATGGTCATTTATTCAATTCATTATTAATCAGATTTCCAAATCTGGTATACTTTATGAGACTATTGTATAAGACTCCATTACCTTGTAGTATTGTTTTTGTTTTTTGTTTGATGTTTTCTGAAGAACTATTGTGTATGAAAAGTGCAGTGTGAAAAAAGTTTGATTTGATTTAGTTTCATTAGTCTAGGAAGAGGGAAAACGCTTTACTCTTACTCTCTCTAAATCCCCCACTTTGACCTCTCAGTTAACTTCTCTTCTAAATGATGCAACCTTAATAAGGATATATGCTCTCTCCCATCAGCAGCTCAATTTAAATGAAACAATGTAGCTCTGGTGTAATCAAGCTGGAATGATGCTGGAACTGTGACATGGATTAGGTTTGAAGGGTGGGTTGATTTCAGTTTTCTTTTTTTATTCAGTTCTCAGGGGAAAACATCCCAGGTTGTAAAATAAAAGTTGCTGACAATGTATACTTTGAGGACAATTTAGTATGCTCTTAGATGATGTATTCTGCTTGCACTTTATTAACCTAATGGAAATCTGGAATGCAATGCAGCCTGTTGCAGTTGTTCCTGTACTATTTCCAACTTTTAGCTTTCTTATTCGATCTTACTTAGTATTTTTTTGTTCATTTCTTCTATTGGTAACGTATTAACTTGTGCCCTCTCTAAACGTTCTTGTTCAGTTGCTGCTGTAGTGCATCCCCCCCACTGTTGCTCAGCACCATCATGTCTGCCTTGTTTACACCAGGTCTCACTAAAGCCTGCTAGCATGGCAGTCTGAACAACGGCTACCCCCACTGACATCTGGAGAAGGACACAGAGAATGCTGGGTAAACTGAAGAGCTGAAGAAGGAGAACTGGCTCCAGATTTATGGAGGAAAAGGAGATATATGCCGTTTCTACCCCCTCTCACCATGGCCAACGTTAGAACACTGGCTCATAATGGACGAGCTAATGGCGTTAGCTCGGAGATATATACTGTAGTGGAGAGTGGGGTAAAATGAGCCTGTGGGTAAGTTCACCCACCCCCTTTATCTAGGGAACTGTACACATTTGTTGTCATGTGACCATACATTCAGGAAGCACCCATCATGTATATCTGGCTGTGATGGAGAGAAGCACATGGTGAAGTGGTAAATTTGTTTTTTTCACAATAAACCATGTTTTGCTTGTCAGGTATAATTACTGTTATGTCAAAGCTAAATGAAAATAGTTATCATACATGTGATTTAGTAAAACCATGCGAATCATTTAGTTAAAGATGAGCATGAAAGCTACACTCCTTACTTTACCCCTTAGATGGGGCAAGTGAAGCTACAAGACCACTTTTCTTTGAGAAGTCATATTTTCATAATCCCTTTGTGATAGATGCATTATTTTCATTTTGATTGACAGAAGACATCCTGAAGTAAAGGTTGTTGTCATTTGACTTTACAACAAGTACAAATGGGCTCATCTTACCCGACCTCTATGTCAGAGGTTTGCCAGCAGCTCAGTATATATCAGGGTTTATGTCCCAAAACAACCAAGGGTTCGCAGTAAGCCACAACTGAACCTTGTAAACCATCTTTCAAGCACTAGCAGTTTGAACAGTTACAGTGATTGGACACTATCTGTCTATATGTACGTAGATATCATTTGGAACAGGCCTATTCATTTCATCTTCAAAACGGTTTCATTTCTTGTATTTATCCTCATTTCTATCTCTCTCTCTTAAGTGTTGCGTTGGGTATCTCCACTTTTGGGGACTGTAAGTTATTATGGGACCTTTCCTTACAGCACAGACACCTCCTTTTAATTCATGCTTTCATAATATGCTTTCTTAAACGCCCAAATGATTTTGGCGTTTAAGAAAACACCTTCCACACATGCATCTGGCATAAAGAGAAAATGATTATAGTTCCATTTGCAAGGTATTTGAGAGAAAGCAGCTTAGTGTGATGAATATGAATGAATATGAAAAGAAATGGCAGATATGCAGTTTAGCTTGAAAGCAGATTAGCTTGAAGGCAGCGCCAGACATTGAACCTCTCCTTCCTCCACTTCTTCCCCTCTCCTCTTTTTTCCCTTTAATCTAGCTCTTTGTCTCCCTCCCTTCTAAACTCCTCTAAATGCTGAGACTGTTGTTGTAGATTTACCCACTTGAGAAATGTATATTTTATTTTAAAACCGATCAGTAAGTACCAAATAAAGATTATAGTCCCAACAAAATTCACATTCAAATCTGTCTTTCTTTAAAAATATGTCCAATTGCAAAGAAATGACTGATGTTTTTTAACCACCCTTTTGATGTTGAATAATTATTGCAAAAATCTATCCAATACTCATCAAGACATTTCACTCTAAAATGTCACTCCTAAAGGTGGTGTTTGAGCAAAACCCAGTATGATTGATCCTCTGGGGACCATGCATGTCTGTACAAAATGTAACGGCAATCCATCCTATATTTGTTGAGATATTTCAGTCCTAACCCAAGTGGTGGGCCGACTGACAAACCAACTTTACTACTTTAAAAAATATATATTTTAATAAAAACAGTTATAAAATAAACAGACATTGCTCCAGATAACAGAAAAAACAACAAAACACGTAACAACAAACAACTAAACAAAACATAACAGCATAACAGCTTTCTCAGCATCTAGTGATGCTGCAATCATTGGCAAATTGCTGGAGCTTGCTTCCAGGATAATCTGAAAAACCCTCCTCATGTTATTTGAGGACTGGCGGCCTGGAACTTTACTACTTTTAAAGCAACGCTGCTAGCATGGCTACACATGTTTCCATTGAAGATATGTGGGGGTACAGGGAAATATTCTCAATATCCTAAAATGTCAGGTGGAGGCAGATCCATGCCCACCCGACGTGCCAGATGGTTGGTTACAGAAAACCAGATGCTGTCGTCGGAAACTGTTTGGAAAAGAGCAGAGTCTTTTAAAAAGTACTTTGTGTGCTTCGCTCCAGGTGAGTGAGTGTTCCATCTGTCAATCCAACTCTTGCCAAAACCGGGAGAAGAGCAATAACATATTTCCCGCCAGAAAAACCTTCATTGGCGTTCTTTCCTCTTCTTACAATTAAGAAGTACTCCCCATATGATATAACTGATGTCAGCATCCACGCTAAATGGAGTGAAGCCTTTGAGTTTAGGCGGTCAATTCAAGCTTTAGTGATACAGTCGTATACATGTGAAAAGCCTTACACCCTATTACAACCAACCAAACACATTCTCCTTAATATGACGCTCTATTTAAGCTGCACGATGTGCCTTACGCCACCCATCATCCACTTGGAGGCTCTGGGGGAAACTTATTTAATCAAACCTCCTCAATGTTCGATGTAAAAAAACACTAGACACCAAACTCAAACGTGAGTTGTCTGACTGAACTGCTTTTGTTATTTTCAATGAACAGTCTCCTCTCTATTTCACGTCACACACCTACACCTCACAGGAAGTAGCTGCCAGTAGCTCCTGGACACTGATTGTTTGGAACCACCGCGGTTTGGGCAAAAACACTTTAATTGAAGCCCTGATGAGATGGATTTTGTATTTGAACATATCATTTTGTGATCCTGCGATTTTAATCCTCTGAATTTGTGAGAATCCAGCTGCCATGCAGGGTAAGAGACTAAATGTGTGTTTTACTGCTCCTCTAACTTTAGTGATACATGCCATGCTACCAAACCAATAACTGTGATGCAATCAATCAAAGATTGGATTGGGTATTTGCTCATTTTGCTGTGATCCATACTTTGCATTGGTTGGGTCAGGATAACAAATAATAAAATAGACATATTTTGTATCCACTCACATGGACATGTTTCATTTAAACTGCTCTGCCATGGTCTGTGAAGTCAAAATAACACAACAAAACAACCTGATTCCTCAGAAGAAGGGGTCTTAGAAGCATCATTCGTTTTGTCAGTCGAAGTCTGCCCCCCATTTACCTCTATCCTGATCCTCATTTTGTTAGAGGCATTAGATTTAAATGACAAAGGTGCATCTCAGAATATAAAGCAGTTGAATCCAGGTCACAGGTTGTTTTTGTATCCTCTCAGTACACTGCCTTCAGCTGCAGAGTGTGACGGCCAGCGTTAAGGATGTGTGACGTGGCTCTCACTGATACACAGACATCCACCTGCTCTCCAACAGGAAGGATGTGTGACGTGGCTCTCACTGATACACAGACATCCACCTGCTCTCCAACAGGAAGGATGTGTGACGTGGCTCTCACTGATACACAGACATCCACCTGCTCTCCAACAGGAAGGATGTGTGACGTGGCTCTCACTGATACACAGACATCCACCTGCTCTCCAACAGGAAGGATGTGTGACGTGGCTCTCACTGATACACAGACATCCACCTGCTCTCCAACAGGAAGGATTTGCTGCTTCTAACGTTAGCCTCTACTTTCATTACATTTGATGTTTTCTCCTTTCCTCTGTCCTTCCAACGAATCAAATGATGAGCGCCTGGTAAAACACAATGAGGTACACTCCTAATGAGGCTCTTTGTCCGGTGTCTTTGTATTCTGTAATGATTTCCAAATCCCACTGTATTTATTACTGTGGTTTAAAAATTCCACTTTAATAAAACATGATTGCACTAACCACGTTCCTCGATGTAAGATTTATGATGATTAATTTCTTGTCAGCTTTTTACACTCCCTTGTGGCTCCTTCTGTCTCTCCCCCCGCCCCCCCCCCCCTCATTGTTGGGTTGTGTATGTGTTGAATTTGCTCGGAACAGGAGACATGTGGGCTGCATGAGGAGGATGGAACTGTCATCTAATCAGAGCTAGATGAATGCGCCGGGCCTCAACTCTTTGCAGAAGTAAACTGCGTGTGTGTGTGTGTGTGTGTGTGTGTGTGTGTGTGTGTGTGTGTGTGTGTGTGTGTGTGTGTGTGTGTGTGTGTGTGTGTGTGTGTGTGTGTGTGTGTGTGTGTGAGATTTTGTTGTAATGGTAAAGTCAATTGATGTTAGGTTTAAAGGCTATGGAATGTGTTATTTCTATGAGGGTCCTCACAAAAAGAAAAAGACAAATATATATATATATATATATATGTGTGTGTGTGTGTGTGTGTCTTTGTGTGTGTTCTCTCAAGTTGCACGGCAATGTAACTTTTGGCTTTTTGATGACCATATGTTGCACTAAATCTTAATGCTTTTAATGTTTTTGTTATTTTTGTAATTGAATTGCCTTGTGTTGAAATGAGCTATATGGATACATTTGCCTTTACCTCATGTTCATATATGCCATAACATGTTCATTTCATATTCTTGTTTCCAATGCAGGTAATGGGGACTTAGCAGTCAGCTGGTTATCTTCCAGAGGTACAGGTACACAAACAGTTTGCCGTTACCTCACTTATTCTGCGTGGTATTTTAGAACCAAATTCAGATCATACAGTTGACATGTGGGAGGAAAAAGACAGGTGGGAGGTTGAGTTCAGACTCTCTGTTCATGTTATGCAGCACTGCACTATCCAAATATGATAAATATGAATCCTGAGGGGGCGACGTTCCATTTGTGGAGCTGTCGTCACATCCTTGTCAAAGAGTGTATTTATTATCATCACACTGTCTTATCTCTATATTTAACTTCACTAATCAAAGTAGTGCCATGTGTGATCCCTCCACTGCAGTTCAGCAGGACAACACTGTCTTATATCCTCTTTTAAGAAAGAAAGAAGAAATATGATTGATTGATATATTAATAACACTGTTTTAAGATGAATTGGTGCTCTTTGTAGTGTGCGTGGTATCAGAGGCATGTCAATGTATTGGATCCCGACTAATCACTCAAAGGTATAGTGAACTTGATTAAGAGGCTGTGACTGGTGAATTGTCTTTGTGTGAAGTATAAGTGAAAATATTGAATTGCTACTATGTCGCTGTGACAGGTGCATTACTCTCTGCCACACAATACTGCTACATTTCACTAATGATCTCAGTTTTTAAAGAAATCATTTTATTGGCATACTGGTACCTGTGCATAACTCCATGTGTTAGTCGTGAACACGCTGTGCAGAATTAGTTCCATGCAAACCCTTTACTGGTGAAACTTAGATTGACATCATGTTGTCACATGATATTGTCACACAGCAACTTGACAGCTGCGTTGTATTTAAGTTAAATCTTTCTCTGATGTGTTCGATTCATTGTAAAGTGTTGCAAAACAGAGTTGCAAGGTTCCTTTACTAAAGCTCTATCACATCTCCAAAGGATTACTTTAAAAATGAATACATATAATTAAACAATTCATATACATATAATATATAATATTATTAATGTATAAAGTGTTCCCTTAAGAAAACAAGCATTAAAGCACCTTTCCTTAGTATGTAGAGAATTTCGATTAGCTCTTTTCATGGCTGACTCTTACAGATGATGTCTTTACGTTCTGAATCTTCCCAGGCAAAAGGATGGTTGGGTTTGTATATGAAGGGGCTGCGGGACATTCATAGTGACTTGCTGATTCCCTTGCTATTTGCTCAGACTTTCAATAAGGTAGGCATGGCCTCACCCCCCATTGTCTGAGAGATGAGTCAGCACCGCTCAGATTCAGCTCAGCCAGGGAGTGACCACTTTAAAATGTGCTTTCGGGTCATTCAGAGCAGCACGATGACGGGAACAGTAGAACAAGTTGTTAAAGGTGTGGACTCTGCGCTGCAGGTTGAACACTAAAATAAAGTCTGCATTTTTTTTACCTTGAGTATCACACATTTCCCTTGGCTCTAGGATGATTTTAGTTGAGTTATTTTGAGTTTTACATCTGTCTTTTCTGAAAACCAATGTTTAAATGTTCCTTAAGAAGCTTCAATGTAAGAAAACATATTTATTCACTGGGCAGAGACCCTCCATGGGATAGAAGATGTCAAGACGTGCATTCAGTTCTCGGTGTGTGTGGTACCTGCAGTCTTGCCGGGGGTTGGCTACATATCCTGGGTACGATCCTTCGGTGATGTGCCGGCACATTTTGCTGTCTCTGTCTGAAGGCAGCAGCATTCCGGCTCGCACCATCAGACCCAGGCAGTGGTCGAACGTGTTCCTCTCCTCTGGACCGTCCTCCGTGAAGAAACAGTGGCCCAGCGTGTCATAGCCCACCACGTCCTTCACCTGGGGGAAAAACAGATGTTGCTTTTTAATGAAAGGATCATCACACTAGTGCAAAGCCTTGGTCCTCAATTTGGAGAAATCATTTCCAAAATTGACTGAAACTTCTCAGGGCTTAATTTAAGATGTTAAATGTACAATTTCTCAACCTGGAGGAGGGGGGTTGCTCTTTTGTTACTTAATACATATTATACAATTTGACTGAAAATGACTGAATACTGCAAGAAGTGAGACTCTAAAACATCAGTTCAGAGTATCTTTTCTTCTTGTCTCTGGGCACAGATGTATTGGGATATTGTGTTCTAAGATAGTGCCCCAGACGTTCAGATGAAGGTTGCTCACTGAATGCATCTGTTATAAAAGGATGTGGATCGATGTCCTTGGCTGACTTCCTGCAGCCTCCCCACAGGCATTGATGGCATGAAATTATAACCTGAAAATTACCCTTCAGCTATTTCTGTCTGCTCTTTCAATTGGACCTACAGATCAAACTGTGATTATAAAATGTTTAGTCACTCAGGCACTCTGAAGTTTCTTTAGCAGTTTCTTCAGTAATTGTTGTTTCTGGGAAAACTAGGGGATTTAACATGGGAACCAACAGGAAATGGAGGTGAGGAGGAGCAACAACCTGCCTGATGAGTTATTTTTGTCAATTAAAAAACCACGAAAGAAAGCTGAAAACTTTGACTGTACATACTGAAGTTTTTTAAAGAGGTCCTATTATGCTTTTAGGCTAAACCCCCCCCCTGCCTGAAACGCCTCCATTGGACTCCTTTGTTTACTTTTGTGACAAAGTGAGATCACTATGTAACACTCACACTTCTATTGTCTAGTGCTTCAACACATTGTCCGTGATAGGCTAAGGTGCGGGACATCTCTAAGCTGTTGACCAATCACAACAGAACCGGCCAGCTAACCAATCAGAGCAGACTGGGCTCTGGTTTCAGACAGAGGGTGAAAAGAGGTGCTGCAGCTCAGGCAGTATGAGAAAAATAAAGAGCTTTCTGAACATTAAAGGTCCCATGTCTTGGCCATTTCTACTGATCATAATTCCATTGTTGAGGTCTACTAGAATAGATTTACATTGTTCAATGTTCCAAACTCACATTGGTTTCTCATACAGCATCTCTGTAAAGTATGTGTATTCACTCTCTGTCCTAAACGCCTTGTTGGAGCTCCTGCCCCCCCCCCCCCCCCCTCCCTATGAGCCCACTGTGCTCTGATGTGTGATTATGTGTTACAATGGCATTTGTTAGCAACCAGAAAATGACACCAGTAATGACAAACAGATGAGAATGCTGCGTGGGGTCTGGGTGCCGTGTTGGCGGGACGTTGGGGGGCTCGCTGCTCCGCCCTTTGAGGCTCGAGGAGCCGACAGTGTGAGCTGGGTTACTGGTGTCGTTTCCTGGTTTCCAGCGAGACTACGCGAAACTCAGCATGAACTCAGCCTGAGCACATACACGTGAGTGTGTGGCGAACTGTGAGTGGAGATCCACGCAGCTGCGGCTGAGAAAAAATAAGGTTGAGTGTGCCGGCGAAACTCCGCAAGTATCGCGGCTGAGAGAAGATACGGCTGAGTGAGTGTGTGTGTGAGGAGCTCCACGGATTGGTCCATTTGGACCTGGGCATGGTCACGTCACTGTACCCAGGAAGAAAAAGAGAAATGTCCAATGAGGCGTTCTGGGGCAGCATAGACAGGTCTTTTCTGTGTTCACATACAGTACACACAGGAATGTTCTTGTTGGTGTCATGAAGGGTTTTCAATGAAGTGTGTCATCAAGTGTGGGTGTTTTAAATGTGACCTGCCAATTGAAAATGAGCTCTGACATAAATCTAAAACTATTTAGGTCAATCAAATGGCAACTTTATACTATATACAAGTTTTCAATTGCAGGAATTATGCTTATTCACAAGCGTTAGACACGAAGATAATACCTGAACAATAAGCATATTTCCCAAAAGGTCTAACCTTTTCTTAATTATGCTTACAAATACTCTAAATGTATTACAATTGAAAAATTAAACTTGAATAAATCTTCCTTACGTACCAGCAGTCCGTTGGAGCTGTGGATGGTGACGCAGCGGGAGAAGGAGTGGTGGATGGACAGGTCGGTGACAGCTGTGGGGGGGTCGTAGCCCCCCCTCTCGTCCACGTCTCCGTTCATATGGAAATGGACTGGGTAGTGTCCCATTGTTTGCTGGCCCATGTGCTGCAGCTCCACCCCCGATATATGAACCGCCCGGAAGCCCCGCTCCACCTGAAGAGGAGCGCAGATACACGTCAGTCACTTCAAATCAAATTGAGGTATTAAAAGACACAAAGGCTGTTTCAGGTCAATGAAAAATATCAAAGTGAAAGAAGGGAAAGAGGGATAAGGGCAAAACGAGGGATACTGAAAAGGAAAGAGGGGCATGAAAGAGCAAACAAGCAGGAGTGAGCAGAGAGAAAGAAAGGAGGAGGGTTTCTTTCAATTGATCTACAATCTATAAACAGTAGCAGCTACCTCTTTAATTGTATTAGTATGGTTTATGATTTGGCAGGGGGTGATAAGGGGGAGAGTCTATAGTTCACAAAGGAAGAACATGGGGAAAAAGGTAAACAATGTAGGGTTCAGTAGTGAGATGTAGAGAAGGCAGCATGAAGCAAGAGAGGTGTTGAGGAAAAAGGACTTGAAAAGACGGTTGAAGGAGGAAGGAATCACAGAAGAGGGCTGCAAATCTAGAATGGAGGGAGGTTATATTTCACACAGGCTCCGCCCTCTACTGGACTCTATGGGTACTACCCATAACCATGCTATGCGAGCATTCACATACTGAGTTGCATAAACGTAGCCGGCCAATCAGGGCGAGCCTACCTGAATGCGCGCAGGCCCACTGTATAGAAGGTGGCTACGCCTCCTGACTGTCATCCTTTTTCTCTTCAGCGAGCGAGCAACTGACAGAGAAAGTAAAACGTTTGAAAGAAGAAGAAAGAGTTATCATACCTTCATGGAGTCGCCACTTCTAGAGACCCGGCCTGTCCTTCGTGCCCTGGCTTAATAGCGGGCGCCGATCCCCCCCACCTCTGCTTTGAGTGTTTGGGGGACCAGGATATGGCTGAGGCGGTGCCATTCACGTTCGCCATTCCAGCGGGGCGGATGGCTCTGTTTGCCGGGGAGGAGGATGACGAGGACTTCTCGTTGTCGGGCACTTCCGGGTCCGGCGTCAAGTCCACTGCCCAGGTCTGTACTTACCCCTGGAGATGACCAGGGCGGCGGAGCGTGGCAGCCCATCTTCTCCCAGCAGGCAGCAGGCTGGTCAGAGAGCCTCTGCCCCGCTGCCGCGTGACAGGGCGGCTGCAAATAAACACGGGTGTGTTGGGCGTCTCGCTCATTGCTCTTCCGCAAGATGCCCCCACCTCACCGGATCAGAGCGATTATTTGGCCGCAGCATCGGCCGAATTAATAGCTTGGTCTACGGTCTGGCCGCCGCTGCTTGCCGTGTGATGTCCCTGGGGGATCACGCCGTATGGCACTTTCCAAAAAGACCGTGAGGATCTCCTGGGAGCCCCCGTGTCTACGGAAGGAAGGAACTTTTACCGGTTAAATCGGTTTACCGATAAAGCCCCAGAAAGCACATGGCTACTTAGCATGCAAAATGACGTCATTCTGCATGTTAAGTAGCCATGTGCTTTCGTGTTATCGGCTGAATCTTTATTTATTGATTAGATCACGTTACTCTGATGATAGTGATTCTAGTCAGCCTATATGTCTGAACTCGATCCTTAGAGTAATGTGTTACGGAGCCTTCTCTTCAATATTGTTTCCACATAACGAACATTTTGCGCTGCTCTTTCCCAATGTGGAAGCAGAATGTGTGAAAGCATACAGCACGATGCAGGGTGTGTCTCTAGACATCTTTAGACTGGAATAGCGGGGCCCAGTACGTGAACTCGCCTTGCAGGTGCACACGCCAGGATAGAGGACATCAGACTCCAAAGAAAACTTGCTCGAGTCCGAGTCCAAGTTGGAGCGTCAATGTACAAGTTGAGTCCGACTCATCGTGGGGGGGAAAATTCACGAGTCCGAGTCCAAGTCATCGTACGCGAGAATTCACGAGTCCGAGTCCAAGTCATCGTGCGCGAGAATTCACGAGTCCAAGTCATCGTGCGCGAGAATTCACGAGTCTGAGTCCAAGTCATCGTGCGAGAGAATTCACGAGTCCGAGTCCAAGTCATCGTACGCGAGAATTCACGAGTCCGAGTCCAAGTCATCGTGCGCGAGAATTCACGAGTCCAAGTCCGAGTCGCGTCAATCAGTGCGCGAGTCCGAGTCGAGTCACGAGTCCCGAAAATCGGCACTCGAGTCCGAGTCCAGGACTCCAGTACTCCATCTCTGGCAAGAGCAGGATCCACCACAGCCTGTTACAGGACGAAGTGGTTGGGATTCCAGCGGTGGTGTGAAGTAAGGAGTCTAGAGCCTCTATGTACATTAGGCTCTATTCTGTGCTATGTACAGATGCTGGTGGACAGGGGGCTTGCTCATTCCTCAATTAAGGTGTGTGCAGCAGCCATCTCGTCCTACCATGAGGGATTTGGAGGCAGGTCAGCCTTCAGTCAACCGCTTATGGCGCGGTTTTTGCAGGGGGTCAGGAGGCAGCACCCAGTAGTGCACGCCTCCTCCCCGCAGTGGGACCTGCCGTTGGTGCTCGAGGCTCTGGTCACAGAACCATTTGAGCCTCTGGAGCTCTCCTCCCTGAAGGCTCTGTCATTGAAAGCAGCTTTGCTGCTTGCCTTAACTTCAGCCAAGAGAGTGTCCGACCTGACCGCTCTGTCGGTGCACCCGAGTTGCCTTTTGATCCGGGGTGACCATAGCGGGGTGACACTCAGACCAAACCCCTCCTTTGTTCCCAAAAACCTAAGGAGGCTTTAGTCTTCCACCCCATATTGGGGCCAGGGAGGCTAAATTACACCTCCTCTGCCCGGTGCGTGCGCTGGCATGTTATGTAGGGCACACGGCTTCCAATTAGGCGCACTGAACAGCTGTTTGTGTGCTTTGGGGAGGGTGTGGCCGGTAAAGCTCTGTCCAAGAAACGCCTGGCAGGCTGGCTCTGTGTGTGCATTTCACATGCCTACGGACAGGCGGGGAGGGCCTTCCCCACTGGGGTCCGTGCACACTCTACACGGGGTATGGCCGTGTCAACAGCCTTGTTCAACGGCGTGAGTGTGGAGGACATATGCACGGCGGCGTCTTGGTCTACGCCAGGCCCCTTCATAAGGTCTTATCTCTTGGACATGTCTGACTCCTTCTCATCCTCAGTGCTTGCTGGGGCAACACATGACTGGTGAGAGGGGGGTCTCTGGGTCAGTAGGCATCTGACCCCCCCCCCTGGGACATAGTGCGCTTATGTTTTCCCATGCGCCTTAGGGACCCGGGAAACGTAGTATGCTGTAAACCCCGTACAGGACTGGAGGACGCTCCTCGCCTTCCTCACTATTTTCCATGCACACTCTACACGAGGTAAGCGTGTGTGAGTGTGGGGACCAAAAGCCGGTCAGGGGCAGTGTGATGGGTCGATGTTGTTGAACGACAGGGCGTTTATCCATCAGGGCTCCACCCACTGTACCCATAGAGTCCAGTAGAGGGCGGAGCCTGTATGAAATATAACGGGGGGTTACGCATTGTAACCCTAGTTCTATAAGCACAGGCGGAGCCCTCTACCTGGGGTCCGGTCTTTCCTATGCCGCTCGCTGAAGAGGGTGTAGGATGACAGGGAGGAGGCGTAGCCACCTTCTATACTGTGTGCCTGCGCACGCATTCAGGTAGGCTCGCCCCGATTGGCCGGCTACGTTTATGCAACTCATTATGTGAATGCTTGCATAGCATGGTTAAGGGTAGTACCCATAGAGTCCAGTAGAGGGCTCCGCCTGTGCTTATATAACCAGGGTTACAATACGTAACCCCCCGTTACACTCCACAGGTGGAAAAGTCAGAAAGGAAGGATGAAATGTATGGAAAAAATGACAGAGAGAAAGAAAGCAGGAAGGAAATGAGATATGGAGGATTCAAAATGAATGGGGAAGAGGGAAGAAACAGGAAGTAGGGGATGGGATGGAAGAAGGATGTAACAAATAGGAAGAGATTGAAAGATAGCCTGGAGGAAAAACTATAGGAGCAGAGTAAATAAAGAGAAGGAAAAAGAAGAGGTCAGATAGAGGTGATGACAGTCCAAAATAAATCACAGTGACCCAGCTTCGCACGCATCACACTGCTGGGGATTTGAATTGTTATTTCAGTTTAGTAAAGATTACAACATTTAAAAACCTTTTGATGTTCACAAAGCAATTTTTAAAAATACAAGTGGAAACTAAGGCTGCTGCTCTGAGCTCCTGATATTGGTGGAAATACGAGGTCTTAGCACAACCAACTGTCAAGGGGGAAGTTTACCTGAGGCGTTTGGAAGGGCTTCACTTGAATCTCAGAGGCTTTCCTACGTGCATGCATGGTAATGTGTGACAGACTGAGATGGAAATGTTTAATAGGATATGATATCTGCCCCGGGGCCACAGAGGCATGAAGGCAGCAGGAACACAGTCTCTCTGTCATGGTTCTGAGTTCTCCTTTTTAACTTTTCATTCTTATTTTGTTTGCTTGTCTGTGTTCTGTCTCAGAGTGGTGCAGTGAAGACGTATTTTTGTTGGCCAACCCGGAAGTTAGCATGGCAAAGGGCTCCGTCGACAAAAAGCACTAGGATTTTTCCATTGGATTTCTGTATGTTGCAGAAAATAAGCTCTTTGGCAAACACACATTCATGATACTTAAAACGTTATGTTCAGCAGTATAATCTCCAAATATTAATGCCACTTCGTGCATAGTAAAAAGCTAACGCTATGCTATAAACAAACTACATCATGGTCACATGGCATAAGAAGGCTAATGTCAGCGTGGTGACGTTTCGTAGTTTCTTTAGATACTTGTTAGCAACCTCCCTTTTTATGACACATAGCAACTTCTGACATTTACTAGTGAAGAAGAAGAAGGATTGGGAGGGATGAAACCCTCTCTAATGGTCACACATGCATCCCATCCTAGTACTAGGAGTAGTGGGCTATTGCACAGCGCCCGGGGAGCAATGGGGGGTGAGGGAGGTGGGGGGGGTTGTCAGGTGCCTTGCTCAAGGGCACCACGGCAGGGCAGGAGGTGAACTGGGACCTCTCCAAGTAGAAGTCCACACTCCATATTTAGGTCTGGTCGGGGACTTGAACCGGCAACCCTACGGCTCCCAGTCCAAGCCCCTACTGACTGAGCCACTGCCGGGGTATTTATGTGAGAAAAAAAAGGTGAAAATCTCTTGGGTTTCAACCACAGACCTCACTTCAGGCTTCTAATCACAAACACGTAAAAAAGACCCCATTTACTTAAAGAAAAGGGAACTTGAAGTGGTAAAATGTCAACTTGTTTCCGTTTTTTAGGCCTTGTTTCTGCACCACTCTATTCCAGACCCGGCCCCCGTCAGTAGATGTCCTCCACCAGCTCAGACTCTCCTCTCACCCACTCCTCATTCCACCAGTCCACTGCCAGATTGTCTTTGTGCCATGAGCCTTTCCAGCATTTCATTCCAAAGCCCTCGCGGCCCTGTCTTCTGCCTGAGTCTTAGACCTTTTACTGTTTTCCCCCGGACTATGATTTAGCTTAGCCCTTTACCTAGTTAGCCTGCCAGCATTTTTAGCATCTTTGCGCCTCTTTTTGTAAGTAAAGACTCTCTTCTTTGGGTTATTTTGTCCTTGTACTGACACTCTGGTCCTTTCCTCTCCTGTGTCTCTCTCCTGTCGCAGATTGTCAGGCTTATACAGCATGGATTTAATCAACCGTATTAACCTTCCTTTACATTACTTTTACATTTTTATACATCAGAACATTTCATTTTTTTATTTGAGCTTTCCACATTCAGGGACCATAAAATACTTTTTCTTAGTTTTGTAAAAGAAACATTCAGCTTAGTCTAATTTGTAGAAAAATATCCTTATTGAGCTTCCGGAGACAACACAGACGACCTTGCTAACTGACTCAGATTGTTTGGGCAACTCAATGAACGGTGCATTGAAATGCCGCCTCAGATTGTGATGCACTTTCAAAAAGCATTATCTGCTGGAGAGAAAGCATGAATAACCATGGGTATTGGTTGATGGGGCACTGTCACAGATTATCTGATAGGAAAATGTGCATTATTACCGTCAATTAAAAGGTTGAAACAGCAGCGTACCTTCACGTGTCCACCGAACGTGTCGAAGTCGAAGAAGTTGCAGGCCTCGTTGCCGTAGCAGCCGGGCTCCATCTCTCCACGGACCAGGATGTTGCGAGTCAGCAGGCCCACCTCCGCCCTCATGTCCACCCCATCTACTTCCTCACCCATGTGGATGAACTTGGCCTTACCTTCACACACAAACACACACACACACACACACACACACACACACACACACGCACGCACGCACACGCACACACACACACACACACACACACACACACACACACACACACACACACACACACACACACACACACACATGACTGGTGAGAGGGCTAAAGTAAATCACAGAGCAGTCTGAAGGTTCACTATTTCGACCAAACGTCAGATTAGCATTAGATTAAATGATAAGCAGTCTTTGTGTACCAGTTTGGCCCTGGCATCAGTGTATGAATATGAGTGTGTGGATTGTAACATGTTAAGGCACTGTATAAATGCAGTGTAAAACAATACAGTGTTTATTTGTGTGTGTGTGTGTGTGTGTGTGTGTGTGTGTGTGTGTGTGTGTGTGTGTGTGTGTGTGGCTGAACAGATGTTCCAGATAATTGCAAAGGAGGAGGACATAATGCTGAGGCAAAATCATACAGTATATGTGCAGCTAGCACTTATAATTATGTTGACAGACAGTACAACACTTACCATGATTATTTTTCTACAGTTTGCAAAAATTAACCATCATAAACTACTGGTCATAACCATACTAATGAGACTGTAGCATCACAATTCTTCAATTATGTTAGGTATTGTAAATTCTTCCTTTAAATGTCTAGCTGATTATCTGAAAACATGTAGGTTCTGACGGAGAAGCTAACGCTAACTAGCATTAGCTCGAGCAGCTACAGCACAGAGCTGTTCACAGTACCGTTCTCATATTCAGTCAGATATCCAAACTTTGTAACACTTGACTTAAAATAGATGTATCAGTATTAGTATAAGCTGTTATCACTTAACATAAACTAACATAAAAGACTAAAGTTCCTATCATGAATGTCAACATAATTTTAAATATTTCACTGATATACATCTAACTCTTTGGTTAACTTTTTAAAATTAAATTTCTTATAGAATTCTAACATTCCTTAAATGTCCTTTCTAATATTAGCAATGGTTATTGCCTTTCAAAGCCATATACAACTTGATATTTCTTCTGGTATCATCAGATCTCAGACCTAAATCTCATGGTGAATCCGACCTAACAGAGCAGGCTTTATAAAGCTAGGTAAATGTCAGGATATAAATAGAATAATGCTAAATCCTTTACTGCTTTAAGCCATTGATTAACTTCAGAGCATTTATGTTCCTCACTCAGGCCCAAGTTGTAGCACAAAAAACGGATTAATAGCCTTTGGCTATCTGTCTGTGTATCTCTCTCAACTATCTCTCAGCTCCCAGCTTCCAACAACAAAAGCAGCACACCCTCTCAGTTTGTGAATAACCTCAGGGAGTGGGGAACAGACTCCATTATCACTGCTTGTTAAAAAACTGTGCAGCAAAGTGGCACGCGGGCAGGAATTAATGAGACAGATTATAGTGAGGCGGATATTGACAGGAGCTCTGAGGCCTCAGGCTCATAAAAACAGGATTTCCTCTGGTTGGCCAAACACTAGTGACGTCTGCAAGAGGGGGGGGGGAAGAGAGGGGGGGGTTTATGGACGGATTTTTTGATGCAGCTGGGCAGGAAATTTGAAGATAAATGCTGAACTCCTAAATCTAAGGCAAAAGAAACGCAAACTTCACTTCTCGGGTGCGTGAATCAGTAGAAGGAAGAGACAGCTTTGAGAGGACGTGTCATCTCACATTATGCTGACATGGGGCAAAGGGTTTTTCCAAGAGACACAGACAAAAAACATTTGAATCAAACAGGAGAACAGTGAGGGCGGGAGGCTGACCTCAGACTCTCTGCTGAATCTGTGTGATGCAGTACAAAAGAGAGTATTTGTATGGTTTCATACTAGCATAGGAGGGTTACTTTAAAAAAAATGTATTCCTTTTTAAGTTACCTGTAAAACAAAGTATTCAGTAACGTTATCTGAGTATCACAATACAAAAGTCATGTAACCTGATTACTTTACGTTACTTTTGGATTTCGTAAACATCAAAGGCAATGCAAATAAATAAAAGTGTTTTTTACTTAAGTGTATTATGTAAGGCAATAGAAATATGGGACCTAAGAAAAGAAGAAGGCTAATATAATGTGTCCTAAAATATATTAATCTTTATTTCAAAATTATCTACCTTTTTGTTGGTATCCTGATTACCTAATTTCATTACATTTTATCCGTTACTCCCAGCCTGCATGCGTGTCATCCTGTGTGTGTGTGTGTGTGTGTGTGGTGTGTGTGTGTGGTGTGTGTTGTGGTGTGGTGTGTGTGTGTGTGTGTGTGTGTGTGTGTGTGTGTGTGTGTGTGTGTGTGTGTGTGTGTGAGTGTGTGTGTGTGTGTGTATGTGTGTGTGTGTGTGTGTGTGTGTGTGTGTGTGTGTGTGTGTGTATGTGTGTGTGTGTGTGTGTGTGTGTGTGTGTGTGTGTGTGTGTGTGAGTGTGTGTGTGTGTGTGTGTGTGTGTGTGTGTGTGTGTGTGTGTGTGTGTGTGTGTGTGTGTGTGTGTGTGAGAGAGTGTGTATGTGTGTGTTTGTGTGTATGTGCGTGTTTGTGTCAGCGTGAATGGGCTCAGTCAGGATCACACCGTTCTGCAGGATGCGGGCTGAGACTTTACCTTGGCACTGAGTTAGCCCAAACACCTCCCTGACTCCAGCACAGCTCTGGGCTGTCTCAACCACTAGGAATAAAGATGGTTTCAGTGTGTGATGTTAATCTGTTTGGGCAGATTTTTTTAATGCCATAGTTAAACAGGAATTCCATTCCAAATAACTGTAGGCTGTATCTTAAAAAGAAACACATTCTGTATTCAATAAATAAAGATTATCTCATCCTGAAAAAATGTCAGCAAAGATAGTAATAAAGCCAGTTATTATAAAAGCCAAGGTCTGATCCTAAGAGGTTCTCAAATAAAAATTCACAGCATGAATGTTTGGTATGTTGCAAATGCAGTTAAAGAAAAACACATGTCCACTCAAAAGTGTTATAGTGACTGCTGGGTGCTGCAAACGCACCTGAAGCAGTGCATTATGGGTGCAACGGTTTACAGGAGTCATGGTTTGGTGCATTGGAAAAAGCACAAGGATACATTTCTTTATTTTATTTTGAACAGACACTAGTGCAAGTGTCAAAGACAGAAAATGTCTTTTTGTAGTGGACAATAGCAGCATTTTGCCCACCGGTCACTATGCTAAACAGTTTTCTATATATAATATAAGATAAGTTTGTATTACACTGAACAAACACTCTCCTGAAGGGAACAGGTCACAATAGGCTCTGAATAGCATCTCATGCTATGAAAGTGGAAACACATAATACAGGTTTCTGTGTCCTTGTCCCAGTGATTGGCACATCTTGAAGTGTTATCATATTGGATGTGTTTTCATTTAACTGGTGGAGCATATGTGATATTCCTCAATGTTGCTGTTGGAGCTGACCGGGAAAAATGTTCACATCAAAATGCACCGTGAAGTTATAGTAAGAGGGAAAAGGCTCTTATTTTCTTAGCACTGGTCATTGGTCAAACTGAAAGTGAGTGCTCTGCTGCAAATAATGCCTCACTGAAAAATAAATCTATTTAAAAGTCTGTTATCTTCTGTGACCGAGGTCATATTTAATTCTGTTCTTTTTGAGTGACTAGATTTTTTTAAAGCCATTTCCCCGAGATGGCACAAAACTACAGAAAGAAATGATACAAATGTTAAAATAGAAAGAGAGGTATCTTCCCTGGTGGTCTGGTGCACTGAAAATGTTGACTTGAATTAAATGTATCATATCAACAGATTTTACATTACTGTATTAGGTTATTTGAAAGCAATAATAATAAGTTTAAATAACAAATATTAGGTTCAATATTAATATTATTGTTTTTAACTTAGGTTGAATTTGTTGAAATAATAAATGGGATTAAAATCAACGATTCAGTTTTTAGTGTGATTAGGATTCGTTGCTCTCACCGCCGCGGCACGGGTTTGATTGCCGTCGATTCCAGAAGTCAGACTGTAGGGAGTTGGGAACCAAAGGGTTGCTGGTTCAAGTCCAGATGGGATAAAACAGTGTGGACTGGTAGTTGGAGACGTGCCAGTTCGCCTCCTGGACACTGCCAAGGAGTCCTGGAGCAAGGCACCTAACCCCCACCTGCCCCGTTGCTATGACACCTCTCCATTAGTGTTTTTGCATGTGTGTATTTCGGGCCTATGATTGTAATTGTAAAATAACACCAGAGTGAAAAACTGAGATTGATAAAGTGATCAATCTGCTTCACTTCATCAGAGGTCCTTCTTTCCAGTGGCTCGGTCCAGATTGCAACAGCAATGCAGAATTTAAGTGATGAGTTTTTTTGATTTCTGTTTTTCAGAAATGTTCTTATAACATTTTTCAATTTCTTGATGGATAAGACAGGACAGTTTGGAATATTATATCATTATTGTTTCTGCTTCCAGAAGAGTATGACTTGCTGATAGTCTGAGCTCTACAAATAAAATAAACATGTGCTGTAGTTTGCCAAACTGCATCAGAGAGAGTTGTGTTTGAGACGAGGCGGTGTGTCCGTGTTTCTAATGCTGTGGAGGATGTGAATGGAAACACATCCAGCATCACCCAGACATGCCACTTACCGGGACAAAAGAGAAGTGGTACATTTGATTTCATAGCATAAGAGATGCTTTTCACTTGTATAGCCTATTGCGAGCTGTTGCCTTCAGGGAAAGTGTTTGTTCAGTGTTCATAACAAAGAATTGTTTGAAATGTCTTTTATTTTTATGATGACAGTAGTTCATCTCAGTCCCCAGCAAGAGGACTCTTCCTGTCTTCAACACTTGAACTAAGATCTGTTAAAAATAAATGAAAATAAATGTATCCTTTGCATTTTCTTCTCCAACCTGCAAACTACTGGAACCAGACCGTGACTCCTGATCCAGGATCAGATCAGGACCATGACGTCTGTGCACTGAAGCTGTGTCTTCTGTATGGCTTACAGTACCTGCATGCATTGTTTCTCAGGAATCCTGCACTCTGTCAATGACCATTAAAACGACTAAATAGAAAATAATTATAAATTGGGAAAAAAAATTATGATAAGTTGAAATCGTAAGAATTGTACATTTGATGCAGGCTTGTTATCGTAATGATGTAAAGAGAATCACTTCATGAGAAAGCCCCGGTTCTTTTGATGGAGCCTTAACTCTGTCTCTGTGCTAGTGCTCTACTCGCTCTGATGACAGTAAACCCAGGCACACACTAAGTGAGATTAAGCTTTTATTATTCCAGCATCTCAACTGCTTTTGAAACCAGCTCTGGGTAAAAGGTTACCAGAGTGCTTTGCCATTTTCAGAAATTAATTCAAGACACAGTTTGTGAGTGATGTACTGCTTGTTTATGTACTTGGTGTTTTTTCATTAGTCGAGCTTGTTTCTTGTTTTCTTCAACCTTGTGGCGCACTTTGCATCAAAGTGTTTTTTTGTGCCATAAAGTTGACGTTTCTTGACATTTCAATTTACTCTCCTTAAAATTAAGTCAAAATGTGTGTTTGCGAATATTGTTGCCTGAACTTCTCAAGGGTTTTGTAAGAAAACCTCACCAGTGACCTGAGATGTCCTTACAGCTCACTGTAGAGACATACACAGGAAATATTGGTGAGTATTTTTTCCAGAGTAATTACTATTTTGCTCTGAAATAGTGATATTTAATCATTTTGGAGTGTATTTATTACTCATAGCTTCTAGAGTGCGATCAAAAATGCAGAGTCAGTTCTATTGGAGTTAAACCATGACCACGCTGTAACGGAGGTGATCTCTGGGGCCATAGATCTCGGTCTCCGTTACGGATTATATAGCTTCATTATTGGCGAAGTATATTCATTTGTTCCACGCTAAAACATTGCACAGGAAGCATGTGAATCTATGTCATTTATGCATATATTTGTCACGATCTGTCTATGTTTTAGTTTGTCTGTCTCTGTTTCCTGTTTTAGTTTGAAAAGTGTTCCCCCTCCCGTCTTGTCTGTTGCTGGTGATTGCGTTCACCTGGTGCCCTGTGTTTCTCCTCCCTCCTCACCTGTGTCTTGTTGGTTTGATTAGTCCTGTGTGTATTTAGGTTCTGTTTTCCTGTTAGTGTGTGTGTGAGATCCTGGTGGCTGGTGACTGTGTTCACGTGAGACAGTCATATTGAGGCTGTGTATCCTGTACCACAAAGAGGAATAAATGCCCACACCGGGTTGTATTTGAACTCTCTGCCTCTGCCTCCTTGCTTGGTCGGGCCGCTCAATGGTCAGCTTCACACACGCCCACTCATGTTCCTTAAGCACTTTGGTTTATTGACCTTTTTTATTGTAAAGATCATTATGGTTCATTTATTCTATTCTGAGTAAAATGACCTTCTATTGGGAGTAAAATGACCTTCTAGTTGGAGTGAAATGACGTTCGATTGGGAGTAAAATGACCTTCTATTATGAGTAAAATGGCAGTAGAGTTGTTTTTAATATACACTACATAGAGTAAATAACCATTAAGCAGAGTCAAATCTAAGCACATAATAGAGTAAAATGAACTCTAAAAATACAACTCTGAACAAAGAGTACATTTTACTCTATATAGGTTGGGACCAAATGTTATATTTTTAGAGTCAAATTTTCTTCAATTTGAGTAAATTTTACTCAGAGAAATGTACTGTGTGCCTTGCAATCAAACATGTACAAATTGGTTTTTTTCCACAGCCGGTTTTTATTTAATTTTTTTTAAAATTTTAATCGTATCTGTGTTGTTGATCTGTAATATTACAGTGTTACGTTGATTTGTTTGTCCTTCTCGGACCATGCACTACGCGGTTTTGTGTTAGAAAATAAATGCAACCAATCAGATATTTTTCTAGGTCTCTGGGTAGAGTATCCTTCAACCAAGGTATTCTATATCCTTGATAGAATGCCCTGGCCGTTGCACTGACGAATTGTAAGTGGCTACTGCCTGAGATCGCATGCTGTGGTTTTATTAAATGTGCCAACTGCTAGGACTGTCTTAGGGAAGATAGCATTTAGATGCGCAGCTCCACTGTCCTGGAATAGTCTGCAATTGAAATGGAAACTGAGCAATCTGGTGCCACTAAATGCTTTTAAAGCTCGGTTGGATGCTACTGAATCGGAAGCTGTTGGTACCTGTGCATGTGGATAGTTATGTAAATTGTAATCCCTGTAATGCTAATGTATGATGTCCTTTTGTTGTTCTGTTTATGTTTTAATGTTTCATGTGGAACCTACTTGAGCAGGTCTCCCTTGAAAAAGAGATCAATGATCTCAATGGGATACACCTGGATAAATAAAGGCTTGAAATGAAATGAAAAACTGACGGCGGCGGGGGGTGTGTGTGTGTCTACAGAAGGTCCAGTTGTGATAGACACGGTTCGCCACTGCCTTTTATATATATATATATATATATACGTATATCATATACAGCAATACTCTCCGCTCTCTTCCACACAAACCTCACACAGGTAAACACCTGATTATATTCACTAAGAGTGCCGCCGATATCCATGTGACCCAACTAACTAATTAACATGAAACCCCCTTGTTGTTATATCTGCTTGTGTATGAATGAAACAAACATATAGCCTTTTCCTGACAGGTCTAGTTGGCATACAGCTCTGATGGCAGATCCAGGATCAGCCCTGTATTCTCACATATTGCTGGTTCTCTTACCTTGGACCTTGACCTGGCTGGATGTGCAGGTGGAGCAGGGCATCAGGCTGAACTCCTCCGCCTGGTGCATGGAGTAGTCTGTGCTGGCGACCACCACCCGGTCCCCGGACCTCCAGCCCTGTGCTTCGTCCCCCAGCTCCAGGATACTGCTGTTGGACAACATGTCGATGGAGACGGAGGCCTGAGGACGAACTGCAGGGGAGACAGTGAGAGTTAGAGACACACAACCCAGCTGACACACACACACACTGCTAAATACACACAGCCTACACAGACACACACAGCAACACCAGTCCATATTAAAAGATTGAATCCCATCTCAAAGTCCATGGCTCATTCCACATGCATATACATCTCCTCACTGCTGACACAGCACTTAGCTGCTGTCAATCAGGCGTCAATAAAATGAGTACTCCTGGACTACTGAAAAGCACACTTGGTAGAGGCTGGCAGCATATATATTGGGGCGCAGTCACCGTGTAAAATCGGCCTTTTACTCACCTCATCTATAAACTATATATATGGTGGCCCAAAAAATAAGACGAATTAACTATTCCTGTACTTTGACTAGAAATCCAGTAGTCACATAAAGAAGCACCATCATTCTGCCCACAATGTGTTAACCAAAGGTACAATAAGTAAGCAGCAACAAGCCCAAACTAAAAAAGTGGAACTAGAAAAAAACAAGGTTCAAGCGGGGCAGGATTGACTGCTAAACTGACTACATTTGTAAGGTCAGCGGGGACAGTGTTATAAGTGAACAGCTGAAAAGGAACGGGAGAATTGATGCAAACATGCAGAGGGATACAAAGAACGCTTCCAATTCCAACGTGACATTTGCTCCGGCCACCTGCATCTTGACCTTTAGAGGACATAGTGAGATCCTGTAGTCGCCCACTATTTGGCACTTACTCAGTATAGTAAAACTCCTTTTACAATCCGGTCTGAAAGAACTGAGCGACTGAAAGGTTCTGTTATGTCTGTTATCATGGACACCACCCAAGATACTTCCCAAAAAGAGCTGCTGAGCCAAGTGAAAGGATATCTGACTATACAACCCAGTCTCCTGGCATTTCATGTTATAGTCACGACATGTAATCTATTGATTCGTGTTCACCAACACGATTTTCCCCTTTTTTTCGTGTCACACAGAACGATTTTAAAAGCAATGTATTTCTATTGGTAGTGTGTTTTGTGCCTGCACCACGTCTTTTTGTCCGGTCGGGTCTTGGAAGACCAGAAGCTGTGTGGTTCATAAAAACATGTTCTTACTCAATATCAAGCCACGATTATTGTTTTTATTTTAAATAGTATAATGTCTGACTTTTTTTGCCGTCCGCGAGGAAAAGAAATGTGGCTCAGAGCCTCAGGATACTGACATCTGTATTTTTTAAATCTTTTTTTCCTTCTAATTTGTTATTCTTTTCTAAATAACACACTGTTATTTACTCAACAATAACACACAATTATCCTTGTTTTTATTTATTTGTTTAATTCTATGATATCGGGCTTTTTTGCCGTCCGTCAGGAACTGAATTTCAAAATAAAGTCACCGGAAACAGACGTAGGCGATACACACTGAACACTGAACTGATTACCCAAGATCCTCAGCTATGGTTGAAGCTCAGTGATTGTATGTTTTAGCCGCAATGCACGTTGGGATATGGTGTTTATGCGATATGAAATCCGAAAACATTTAAAAAAAAAAAGAAGAAAATAATACTTTATTCCGAGTGTTCTTGCTTTTCTCTTTGGAAGTCATCACATAACGGCATTGTAATACACGGTTCGGCTGCATTAAATATTACACATCTGCCGTAGTTCTTTATTTATAGAGCCCTGATGAGAAGACTTCTAGACAAACAGGAACAACTGGCGCCAAAACTGAATACGTGACGTGGATCATAAATATATCAGCAATTAAACAACATCTTACATTTCTCTTCACAAAATACGTCTCCTTGCAGTATCAATACTAATTCGGCTGACTTTTATATTTGATCCAATTGGTAGATAGGTTATATTTACACTATAACGGTGCACAGCTGATAGAAAGGGACTTGTCATTAAAGAAAGACATTATTGATTTTCTTTGAATATAAGAATGTAAATACTGAGTTGAGAGAATAGTCAGGGGATTTGGGTGATGGGAGACACATCTATGGAATCAGAATTTCAATAGCTTACTATTAAATGACGAATATACCTTTCTGTCTATGATGTTTTATAAATCAGATATTAATATGTAGAAGTAAAACATGTCAAATAATATAGCAATATCCTGTAAAATTATGTGAAAACATGAATAAAACTACACATCTTCAGATGTTTTTATTATAAGTGTCCTACACTAATAATAAAAAGTATAATTTGTTGTGTTAACACTTTAAACTTGACCGTTTTTTAACCCGCACCGCCTAGTGGTTAAAGCACGTTATTGATTTTTTTTGTTGAATATGTTATATTTGATGAAAAAAATATTAAGAGTAAATACAAAATATGGGGAAAGTAGAAGGTCAATGATAGAAATATAGAATATAAAAAATCAAGAAGATACTGTAAGTGATCTCTACAATAAAACAGTTTAGTGCCGGATGTACAAATATATTATATAGGAGGATGTGCAAAACAGAAAAACGAATTAACCTTTATTTAAACATTAAAGAATACTTTAGGTTAAGGTCTTCTTTTAAATAAGAAAAAAGCTTTGGGGGTATCAACAGATAAATATTAAGCCTGACAAACTACTTAACGTCTAATATATTGCTTTCCTGCAATGTTAAAGTGGACCTATCATGCTATATTTGAATAATATAGTGTAGGACCATACCTATATAAGGCATATTTATACTTTTTCTTTTTCAAAATACCAAACAGATCATGCATTTTAGCCATGCCTCATTTCGCTCAATTTGAAAATGTTTAGCTCTGTTTTTGCAAGGGCAGATTCAGTGAGAACAGCACCATCTACAGACCTGGCATATGTACTACAGCGTCTCCAGCGCTTTTGAACGGCAATGGCCGTGGCTGTCTCCTCCTGATTGGTGGAGTTGGCCCAATAGCCGTAGCGCCACTGTCCTGACGTCAGGACAGTGTTCAAATCTGGATCAGTTTTTATCAGATCCGTTGCAGCCCCTTTTTTTAGAGATTTGGGTATGGAGGAAAATAGAGAGGGTTGTGTTTTCTGACACTTGGTGAGTTCCCTGGAACACCGGGGACACATATTCATGTATAAAAGACGTGCAAAAGTGCATTTTGCATGATAGGTCCCCTTTAACTATGTTGAAGCACTTATTTTAACTGATATTATACATATTCATTATACTCTTATAAGATGTATGTAGAAAGTTTTTCATTCATTGCATAACTACACCGTAGTTGTGTATATGATATGTCAATAAACTTTAGAAAATCTACAGTACAGTAGAAATATTTGTTAGAACGGCCATCCTAAACTCATTCTCCGAATTGAAGGGGGAAAACACAAAAGCATTGCACACAATTTAAACCAACCAATGTTGTGTAATTAACAAGGATAAACTGCAGATTACTATGCAAACTTCGAGACCCGAAATATTGTTTTCACCCCAAGCTGTTGCCTGGCACCGCAATTCTGTTGATAGTTATTTCATATCGCATTAACACCATATCCCAACGTGCATTGCGGCTAAAACATCCAATCACCGAGCTTCAACCAGTGCTGAGGATCTTGGGTAATCAGTTCAGTGGGTGTGTGGTGTGTATCGCCTACGTCTGTTTCCGGTGACTTTATTTTGAAATTCAGTTCCTGACGGACGGCAAAAAAGCCCGATATTATAGAATTAAACAAATAAATTAAAACAAGGTGTGTTATTGTTGAGTAAATAACAGTGTGTTATTTAGAAAAGAATAACAAATTAGAAGGAAAAAAAGATTTAAAAAATAAATATTTCAGTATGCTGAGGCTCTGAGCCCCATTTCTTTTCCTCACGGACGGCAAAACAAGTCCGACATTATACGATTTAAAATAAAAACAATAATCGTGGCTTGATATTGAGTAAGAACATGTTTTTATGAACCACACAGCTTCTGGTCTTCCAAGACCCGACCGGACAAAAAGACGTGGTGCAGGCACGAAACACACTACCAATAGAAATACATTGCTTTTAAAATCGTTCTGTGTGACACGAAAAAAAGGGGGAAATCGTGTTGATGAACACGAATCAATAGATTAAATGTCGTGACTATAACACGAAATGCCGTGAGACTGGGTTGGACTATACAGATGGAAAAAAACAAGATCGCCAAAGATATCTTGATAAGCCAGGCTTTCGAGAAAGAACTGTATAAAATCAAACAATGTTTTTCCTAGAAGTAGTAGGTGACTCATTGAATTTTCCGGCCTGATCCAGGGGGCGCCAGAGATATTTGTGGCTTCTCTTTTGGGGAGCTGTCATCTGGTCCATCTGTAGTGGTGCAGGGTTATTGTGGAGTGATGAATGTGTTGTACTCATTGACATGAACGATCACAGCACTCTCCACATAACACACACATACACACACACACACAAGCATCTGGCCCAGACAGAGGCCGGGTCTCTCAGTTGGTTTGGAGCGGTGCCTGTGAACTCTGATCAGGCTGTGTGGCAACCAGAGCAGCCTCCACACACTCTCTGGAGGGTTCATGTCTGTATATTAATAAAACGTCGATCAGCTTAAGCTCTCTTTAAAAGAAAGTGTGCACCCGCCAACCATGAATGCAGCTTGTTGCAGTTGTTCCTGCTAGATTTGTACTATTTTAAACTTCTAACTTTCTCCTTTTAGCTTACTTGTTATTTTTCTATTAATAAGTTCTATAAGTAACTTATTAAACTTTCATGCTGTTGTTGTGCAGTCACGCCACTGGCTGCCATGTTTACACCAGGGACAGCTAATCATGCTAAAGCCTGCTAGCAGTCTGTACAACGACTATTCCCACTGAAATCTGGAGAAGGACACAGAGGATGCTGGGTATAGCAAAGAGACGAAGGAGGAGAGCTGGGTCCAGATTTATGGAGAAAAGGAGATGCCGTGTCTCCCCCCTCTCATCATGGGCATTGTAAGATCACTGGCTAATGGAATGGACAAGCTAACGGCATTAGCTAGGAGTCAGGAGTTAGGAGTTAAGATTGATATCCAGGCTATACTTCTAAGAAACATAATCTGTGTTAAAAGGAACCAAGGTTTAACTTCTCCTATATGTCAGGAAATGTGTGTAAAAGCTCATGCAGACACAAACTGTACTCATACACACAGACAGTAAGTCATGAATGTACCCAGTTTTCCACAGAGGAAGCGGACTCTGTAGTTGTGACAGAGGCCATGAGTCTGGTCCTTGTTGAGGCAGACGAAGCCGTAGTCCTTATCATTCTTGTGGATCACATCTCCCGTTTGGTTGGCCGCTATGCCATCATGAGTCTCAGCCTGGACAAAGTAAAGATGAACCAAAGATTAATATAGGTACTTCTGGCACGAAACAATAGATGATGTGACACACCAATGGTATTGTAAGTGAAGGTGTTCCTTAAGATTACAGGAACAGTTCAGAATGTTGGGAAATAAACTTGTCTATAGCTCTAGGACAGAGAGATGTCTGGCCACTTGGCTTCAGGACAAATCTTTTTTCAGACATCTGGTATTTGTCTAGTGTAAGGCTTATTTGTTGGGCAACAGCAGGAGTTTCACAAAGACGAGCATTGAGGGTTAGGGATCACGATCCATATGTCTGGACACAAGAATCACTTTCAATCCTGCAGGCAGAAGTTCTGCAACATTGCAACACAAAGCCCAGTTGGCCCTCACTCACATTTGGTCATTATTTCAAACTTCTTACAAGGTACTGGGATTTAATGGCCAACTTTTTTGTCATTTTTTATGTGTTAGTATGTATTGTGATATATTACATTACATCACATCACATGTTACTTGCTTTTATCCAAAGCGACTTACATACTCAATACTGTGGGCAATCCCCACAGGAGCAATTTGGGGTGAAGTGTCTCAGGGACACAACGACATGCTGACTGCAGTGGGGTTTGAACCTGTGACCCCCTGATCCCAACACCAAGGCTCTATCCACTGCGCCACACGCCTCCCGTCTATATGTTTCCTGTTTTTACATAGCATATCATTTAACACTATTTGAAAAAATGTTAATATTAAGACAAAAAAATGGTCAGTTCCTTGAATATAAAATTAAAGAAACATTTTGTTAAATTAATCCTACAATACATGAAAAAAAGTATATGGCAGTATAGTGCTTATTAAAACCTGCTCAATGTTGGCACCCTTATCTTGTGAATTGAGGTTGAATGCTGTGGTGTTTCTGTTACGTCTGAATGGTTTTTGCTTGTTTTTGTTGGCCTGTGAGTCACAGTGGAAATGTTTTGTATGGTGCTGGCTAATGGCCTGTTTGCTCTTGTCTTGTGCACAGAGCCGTGCTGAACACACTGTGTTTTTCCTCGGCTCAATTTGTTCTGGAGCCAACATTTGTGCAGAGCACAGCATGGCATGATTGCTACTGTATATGTCAAATTAGCTAGCAAGCCCAAAGTTGTCTATCAACACCTGGCCTGTTGTCATAAAATTGTATAATTATGTGGATGAGTGTCCTATATCCAATCCAATTTGCACAACATTTTCCCACTAGTGAATTTACAGTCAAATTCAAAATTGCTCTTTTACAGGAAAACTGAGGCCTTATTGCAACCCAGTATAATGTCATCCATGTGTTACATAAATGGATATGTTACAAAATACAGCATGGCACTATACAAAATATTGTTAAGCAACACATTCCTTGATGTAGACCTATTCGGCTGTCACACACATCTACATTGAGCTATTACATAATAGGTATGTTGGCTAAGTTTGTACTGCCAGTCATATGACCTACTGTCAATACAATACTGATACAAAGAGGAGTACACCTGTGATCTGTTGAACTCGTGTGACCTTCAGTGGAACCCTTACAGTACAAAGTAAAACAACAGTAAAGCTCAAGGTTCCCACTCTGGCACTGAGCTGGGCCTCTCCACATTTTCTTGGTCAGATCATCCAAAACAAATCCGAACTGCTAGACATAACATATGGGAAGTAGGCAACAAAAAAACTTGGCTGATAAAAATAGAGATCCCACAGAGGCAAATCGAAAGTAAAAACTTGCAGACGGAGCAAAACAGACTCTCTGGAAAAATGATGAAATGCACAGAGCTGGCAGCTCTCACTAAAAGTTTGGGAAAATGCATTTTGGGAAATATTTTTTGATGGTGTGAATGATTTTATGCCAATGTTTTTTCTTTCTTTTATCAAACAAACAAAAGGACATTCCAACAAGAAAGAGAACATAAAGGCAACATGGTAAATTGATAACAGCTAGATGCAATATGTTATTATTTTTTTATTATTATTAATTATGGTAACACTTTATATTAAGGTACACAAATTCACCATCAACTAGTTGTTCATTAACATGCTTATTAGCCGTTTATTGGCTCTTTATTAGTCATTATAAAACACTTATTAATGCATTGTTCTACATGACCATATTCTACAAGTAATAAGCCATTAGTTGAGAGTTTTTCCTCAATTAGTGCTTATTTATTGCAAGTAAGGAAGTTGTTGTACATGAGGTTTGGTCTTAATATGCTCTGCTCAATATGGGCCCAATAAGGCCACAAGAATAATAATTCTCCCATAATAACACTTAACAAATATGATCTATTCTTATGTAACAAGACATGGAACTATAAGTGTTAATTGTGTCTAAATAACTCAAAATTAAATATAAAATGTAAATAAATATATTACAGTAAATTACACAAGTGATGTCTGCCACACCCATGTCAATGAATAGGGAGGATTATACATTTGTATTATTATACTGTTGCACAGCCATAAGCAGCAGCAGCTGGAGCTCAGCACAGTTTCCTGAAGGTATGGTGTGGGATGGGGGGCTGTGTGGGCAGACCTGGCCCAGCTGCTTATCTCCATGCAGGCTGCCAGCTGCT